ATAAATATACAAATATGAATTAACTAATATCCATTTCAAAATTAAACACCGATGTTTACAAATTTTGTTGTTATAATGTCAAAACTGAACATTTTTTCTACGATAGATTGTTGAAATTTTGCAATAGAATTCATGATTTCTCAATGTAGATCAAACTGCTCTAGAAATATTCATTGAATCGTATTATTCAATTCTTATCTTTTCCTCTTCATATTTAAAACGATATTCATTAGGTAAAGAGAACTCGATGAGATACTCTACGATTGAAATATTATGCATTGCTCAAAATAGAATAGATAACTTTTAAAAAAAAAGAGTCATAAAAAACAAGGTCAGACAGTAATTAGAATGTCAAGATGATGTTGAAAATTTTCTAAAGAATTTTAGCGCAAACTGATTGGAAAGAGTTCAATATTTAACTGATCACTTTGAACATTTCATATCTAATAATATTCTGCACTCTTGATTTTATAGTCATTTAAACAAAAAAGTTTGTAGATGCTATTGATTGAGAAATATAAGTTCTAACTTTTTCGGTCAATTTTTGAAATGGATTTTAGCATTATAACATAGGAAAAGTCAATGTTTAAAAAGAAACTTACCAAATGTGTTAAAAATTGATAATACAATAAGAAGACTAACAATAAAATATACTCTAATCTAAACGTACAATAGAGCAATTGAAAAGACAATGACAGAATATATATGATAGAGATTACGCAAGAATGATAAAGAATTACGAAATTTTCTATTATTTTTGTGAGACATGTTGCCTTTATTACTGAAGCACTTTTTTGATAAGAAAAAATATTACGAAATTCTGACGATATCCCAATTTTAATAATTCTGATCATCAGAGTCAACGAATCTGTAGACAGACGAAGATCTCTTTTGGAAGAACAATGCATCAAACATAATTCTTGTGAAACAGGAACTTTGAGGGTATGGGCATGGAGTGGGTGTGGGTGTGGGTGTGGGTGTGGGTGTGGGTGTGGGTGGGTGTGGGTATGCGATGGGTGGCAAGCAAAGGGACACCCACACCTGCACCGACACCCACACCCGCACCCGCACCCAACCCACTCTTGTTCGATAGAATTCGAAATTATTGTTCATGTTTTCGTTTTATCAAAAACTGTACTTCGTTGATGTTGAAGTCGTTCTGCATCACATCAACTCAACGAGTAAAATGCAACACACAATCAAATATTCTAGTTTGCTATAAAGCACATATTTTGAGAATAAGTTTAAAATAGAAATTCTGAGCAGAGTTCATCGTTTCGATTCAATGTCAGTTTTGTTATCGATCACCAACCAATCACTAATTCGGTACTTTTTTTCGAAGTGTCAACTACATGCCGTGTAGCTTCATCGACTTCATTGTTACTCAGCGAGAGTTCAGTGAGTGTCTATGAGAAAAAAAGAAGACGGAAATGCGAAAGATGAAGAAAGAAGAAGGTTCACTGTGTTGATTCGTAAAGCATCAGCCAGATATTGGGCCCCTGCATTTCCTATTTTGCATCCATAGAGGCTGAGTTTGCTGAGTGTCTATGTGAAAAAGTGTATATGAAAAAGAGAAAGATGAAAAGAGAAAGATATTCACTTTGTTGTCCCGTAAAGCATCAGCCAGATGTTGGGCCCCTTCACTTCCGATTTCATTTCCATAGAGGTTGAGATCGATCAGTGTCTGTATGAAAATGTGAAGAGACAAATGAGAAAGATGAACAAAGAAAGATGTTTACAGTGTTGTTTCGTATAGCGTCAGCTAGCTGTTGAGTTCCTGTGGCTGCGATTTCATTATAGGAGAGGTCGAGTGTGGTTAAAGTCTGTGTGAACAGATGAACATAGAAATGACAAAGATAAAAAAGAAAAAGAAAAAAGGGTTTACATTGCTATTCCGTAAAATATCAGCCAGACTTTGGATGGCTTCGTCTCCGAGTAGATCGTATGAGAGATCGAGTTCGATGAGTGTCTAGATGAAACAGTGAAGATGGAAATGAGAGACATGAAGAAAGAGCATGGTTCACCTTATTATTTCGTAAAGCATCGACCACATGTTGAGCCCCTTTGACTCCGACTCGATTAGCGCGAAGGTGGAGATTTGTGATTGTCTATGTGAAAATAGCGACGATGAGAATGACAGTGATAAAGAAGGAGAAAGGTTAACTGTGTTATTGCGTAAAGCATTAGCCAGATCTTGGGCTCGTTCTTCGCTTTCGATTTCATTTTTCCAGAGGTCAAGTTCGGTGAGTGCCTGCGAGAGGAAAAGAAGATGGAAATGCAAAAGATGAAGAGGGAAAGAAAGAAGTTCACAGTGTTATCGCGTATAATATTAGCTATATCTTCAGTCGACTTATTTCCGATTTCTACGCCGCCGAAGATGAGCCTTTTAAGTGTCTGTATGACGAAATGAACATAGAAATGGGAAAGATAAAGAGAAGAAGAGACTTACCGTGTTATTTCGCAAAGCATTGGTCAGAAGTTGAACACCTTCATCATCGATTTCATTGCTTACGAATCTGATTTGGGTGAGTGTCTATGGGAAGAAACGAACATCCAAATGCAAATGATGAAGAAAGAAAAAGACCCACTGTGTTGTTTCGAAAAGGATCAATCAAAAGCTGAATACCTTTGGTCTCCATTGTATTGCCTGACAGAGTAATTGTAGTGAGTGCCTGTGAAAAAAACACGAAGGTGTAAATTCGAATGATGAAGAAAGAAACGGATTCACGGTGTTATTTCATAAAATATCAACCAGATGTTGGGCTACTTTCTCTCCAATTTCTACACCAGTGAGCTCGATTGTAGTAAGTGTCTGAATGATGAAGTGAAGATAGAAATGAGAAAGATGAAGAGAAAAGGAGACTCACCGTATTATTTCGTAAAGCGCCAGTCAGATGTTGAATTTTTTCTTCTTCCATTCCACTTCCGAACAAATTGAGTGTGGTGAGTGTCTATGCGATGGAGTAAAGATAGAAATGAGAGGTACGAAGAGAAAAAGAGAGTCACCTTGTTATTTCGCAAAGCATCAGCCAGATATTGAATCCCTTCGCCTCCCACTGTATTACCACAGAGACCGAGTCCGGTGAGCGTCTGTGTGAAAAAGTTAAGATGGATAATGGATATGAGTGGTATAAAACGAGAAAGAGATTCACCGTGTTATTTCGTAAAGCATCAGCAAGATGTTTAGCCGCTTCATCTGCCAATGTATTGCTCATCAGGGTGATTGTGCTGAGTTTCTGTTCGAAAAAAGTGAAGATAGAGATGAGAAGCATGGAGATAGAAAGAGTTTCACCCTGTTGTTTCGGAGAGCATCAGCAAGATGTTTCCCCGCTTTATTGCCGATGTTATTTGAAATGAGAGTGAGTTCGGTGACTGTCTGTGAGAAAAATTACTGTAGAAATGAGAGACCTAAATATAGGAAACACTTGTTCTATGATGAAGGAAAGAAGACACCAATGATGAAATGCGCGAAATGGGCAATAACTTTTTAATCGTGGTGGTATATTTTGTTGTCCCTGTCATTATTTTACTAAATAAAGCAACTGCTGAAAAACTGAAAACGTTACTGCGTTACAGTTTTCTTCGAGTAGTACCGTAGTGCTTACCATGATACTTGGTTCTATTAGCATTAGTCCTTTTTATCCCAGATATTGCTATTTGTGGTATCAAGATGCATGGGATCGAGGCAGATAGCGCTTCTCTCCTCACATATCCCAGTATCAACAGTAACAATATCTGCGAACCAAATATTAGTTTTCATACCGTGAACTATTATGACAAGTATTATTGCGTTACTTGTGATTCCATGTTGATAATCAAAAGCTCTGATTTACTCAGTAAAGTAATGACACAGGAAAAATCCATGTGTCAATTCACTTCCTACAAAGCGTGAAACGTTATCCATTAAGTTTCTGACCTACATCGGATATGGAATTGCTCCCACGATTCACATCCTCCAACGAGACTTCAATTCCCACAACAGTTACTTCCAAAGCACTTACAGCCTAATAACAGTTATTCTCCGGAGATGTGCTCTCCAAAATTACTTGGCATTTAGCTTTCCTTTTTTTTCGACTAGTTAAAAATAAATTTTAAAGATTTGAAAGTGAACAAAATTAAAATGAACATGAGATGTTATATCTCCGCAGAACTTCAAGATACTAAGGCCCTTCATGTTAATTTTAAAATTATAGACAAGTGTGCTGAATCGTCATCATAACTCGAAGAAGAATGTGGATGCATATGTACCTCCAGAGTTACCGATGTCAAAACCCACAGCTACATCTTGCTAGATCTAATCTGAACATATCGAGTGTTCGCTTTTTTTTCGCAGAAAACCAGAAGTTCGTGACAGAATTGCGTAACCACGATTGGGCACAATTTTGACAGAGAGTTCAATCAGAGTCCTTAGCAGTTTATATCTTGTTTTTGAACCAGATTTGCCACTTTTTCCGCTTTTTGTGGAAAGTTTCTGCTTTTTCATATAAAAATAACTTGTTCTCTTGTGTTGGACACATGATTCATAGGTGGCCGACTAAAAGAACAAAACGACATGTTTTCTTTTCTCTCTCTCCCACTGTCAAACATCACTCTTCTTTCAATTAATAGTTAACTCTATCAATTTACTTCCTTTACGTGCTTTCTTCATACAGAAAAAATATCAAATTTGAAAACTTAAAAGATTTTTTTGATCAATGGACACCGAGAGAATAATTGATGATGAAAATAATCAAGAAAATTTAATAACAACAACATCAATACTTCAGTCAGTTGAAAATAAAACGATGGAAGCCACAATAGATGCTAGTGAAAAAACGAAGCAAAAAGGTGTTTTCAATCCACAATGGTTGCTCGATGCTAAGTTCGGATCATTTTTATGAGAGCATAAACCAAATCCAACTAAAATTGTTTGCATTGCCTGTAATGAACAGTTTTCTATCCATCATGGTGGAAAAAATGATATTGATCAACATACAAAATCCAAAAAACACATCAACAGTATGAAATCATTCAGTGTAAATCGTCAATTAATAACATCAACGATAAAACCAAACAAGGAAGGTGAAGAAACAGCAGCTGCAGAAGGTACTCTTGTATATCATGAAGTCAAGCATGGACATTCTTATTCATCTCAACAGTGCGCGACAAATGGCATCAAAATCATGTTCTCATCTTGTTCTGAAATCGGAAAATCAATCAACTGCTGATGAACAAAGTGCTCGTCGATTGCAGTTAATGTCTTAGCTTTGCATTTCACTCAAAAAGTTTTACTTGAAGTGAAGGATGTATATGATTATTCTCTCATGTTCGATGCATTGATTCCGATTTGCGTACAGTATTTTTCAAAATTCGGGGTAAAGAAAGGTTTTTATTCTTCTTTTCAGTTATTTACGAATATTAATTTTTAATTTTTTATACGTGATAGGTATCATTGATTTGGTCGAAGATGCTGATGAATCAGCAGCAAATATTTATGAAAATCTCAAGGCTGCGATTAAAAAAGCTGGTTTACATTTAGAAGGTCTTACGTCCATTAAAGCAGACAATGCGAACGTTAACATGGGCAATAATCACAGGATCTACTCGTTATTCCATGATGAGATTGAAAATCTCATAAAAAGTAAGCTCAGTGAAGGAATGAATGTGCCTGTTTCTTCATTTATAGATGAATTATTAAGGAAACTGTTTTTCTCATGTTCTACATAACGGTGTGAAATGGGGTCATCAGCTATTAACAGTCGATGTTGAAAATTTTCTTATGATAGCATACATTCATTTTCCTCGTTCAGCCAAAAGAATTGAAGAGCTCAACAGTTATTATGAATTTTATGAACACGATTTTCATGTAAGTTTTCCTTGATTAACAAGTGAAGTAAAATTAATTAATGATACTCTTTTATAATTTGTTTCAAGTTTTGATTTAGCACATCAGACTCCGATGGTTATCATTGTATTTGCCCATCGATCGTTTGTTACTTGTCTACAAACCAGTAAAGAAATATTTCACGGATCAATCAAACGAAGAAATTCCAGAAGAATTAAAAACAAATATCGAATCTGAAGAGACATTATGTGTCTTAACATTTTTACATCATATCCTCTTTGAAATTCAGAAGGCTAACTTGGAGTTATAAAACGAATCAATTACAGCAATCGATTTATATCGAATTATAACAGCACTTCAGTACAAACTAAAACAGCGAATAGACATATCATTGTTCGGAATTCACTGTCGACAATTGTTAATCAGATGCCATCTGATACTGCTACTAAATTACAAGCTTCATTCATTCAATTCATCATGAAATTTTTAGAGTACGTCGACAAATATTTCTCCCGAAATGCTGTTCTTCTAGAAACAATTGAACATTTCGGTAATGGAATTGAAGATCTTACTTGGAAGCAGATTCAAAAATGTATTGAAGTTACAAAAATCCAAGGTTTGAACGAAGATAATCTATTCAATGAGTTTACTGAATTAAACTTGACTTTCGAAGCTACCAAAAAGAAAGAAGCACCATTAGTTGATCAGATTCAATTTTTTCTTTCGAATGCTGCAGAAAAAGAAATTCACAATTCATCAACGACGACGATGAGACAAACTGAGGTCGACGAAGAGGTTTAGGAAGAACAAACAAAAGTAATTCTATCAGATCAACTATGGACCATGTTATTAGCTGTCAATGCGACATCAATACCAAATATGAAGAAACTAATTTCTTTTTTTTTGTATTCAATTCCCGCCAGCAATACTTATGTGGAAGGTGTTTGTTTGTTCGGAAATGAAACATTTACTTAATGATTTTCGTAATCGAATGACATCAGATTCAGTAGCTGCTGAATTACAAATTCGTCGAAATGACTCATTGTCATGTACGAATATACACAAATATTTGTTGTCTCAAAAAGAATTACTGACAGTAATTAGTTCTAATCATAAGTATACATTCAAAAAACAATGGGTTGAGTAAACTTTCTATTGTTTTTCACGTTATATTCTATATTTTTTCATGTTATACTCTATGATATTCTATGCTTTTCATGTTACATTCAATGATATTCTATTTTTTCATTTTATGTTTTATGTTTGGAAACTTTGCAAATTGTAAAATGAAGAAATGCCATAGATTGAAACAAAATGGTTAAAACAGTTAGAAATGCTAAAAGCTGACAATGATATAGTTTTTCGATTTTTTTCCGCTTTTTTTTGTTTTTGTTTCCGCTTTTCAGATGTCGGTAAGGTGGGATTCCTGTTTTGAACTGAGAATCATTCATTGAAAGTTTATGACCACGATGTGCGAATGCAGATTTATTTTACGTTAACTAACAAATACAGTTACTGATACATCTTCCTGTCGAATTCTTATTAAGATTGTCATCTGATCGAGCAAAAGTAGTTGACTAGATCCTTGTGTCAGAATCAGATTTGATCTCGTGTAAGACATGATGAAATCTTGATAGAATTTTTCTGGTACTCCTCTAAAGATTCTGACTAGAATCAAGATTGAAAAGTTTTAGGGTCCTGCACTTATCAGTTAGAAAATAAATGCTGGCAGGAGTCTAAAGAAATTCTAATCAGGATCCCAAATATTTTTAATTTGTTGACAAAAATTGTATAGCGAAATACCAAGTGTCATGCGAGCACATTTCCACTGACCATCATTCATTGATTCTCGTATATATTATCAAATATCATGTCTGTTGGATATCAAGTCCGCTTCCTTTCGAGAATACAAAACCAGAACCGCGTAATAATATCACATTCATACTAAAGCTCTAGTACTTTGTATGTTAATAATGTAATAAACCAGTATTTTTGGCGTTTTCTATCCCTGACGTTTGGTAAAAAATAAAATACTATTTTGGAAATTTTCAAAGACATGAAAGCCAAAGTACCAGGCAATGCAGAACAGAGTTCATTATTTTGAATGATGGTTGAAATTAACAAAAACCAATCTACTCTATTGAAGGTATGCTAATCAAAAGATGAGTGTTTTTTTTTTTTTTTGAAGTCAAAGCCTTTTTATTAAGATGTTAACAAAGAAGAAGCAACAATATATACAAATATACAAAAGGCTGGAGAGAAACGCCGAGACGCATGACGAATGTCTTATGTCTCGTGAAAAGAGGTTATACGATGGAAGTTGTTATAATAGTATATATATATATATGTATGATGCAAAGTTAAAGTCGATGATTCCGATATAACAATTTTTGTATGGATTCGGTCGACTCAACAATGATCGATAGTGACGATGCTATATGTAATATGTAACATGGGTAGGTGATTTCTTATTGAAGTTTGTTGAATATATCTTGCAGGTTGTTGGTTAGTAGTTGGTCGTTGTTTGATGTTGCTGTTTGAATATAACGTTGCAGGAGAGTAACGGCATATTCTTTAATTTTGGGGACATTGGTAATTCGATGGATATATTCGACGGATGTATATATGGGTAATCCTAATGCAGCACGAATGGCTTTGTTTTGCATTATTTGTAGTCTTTCCCATATTTTATCATTGGCAGTAAGTAATATTGGATAACCATAGATGATAATCGATCTTGCAATTGATTTGAAGATGTTTAACATAATTTTGTCATTAGGTTCTTAAGCTGCTCTATTTAAAAACCGTAACAGACTAATACGACCAGCAATCTTCGATTCAATGTGATGGATATGACTTCTCCAATTCAACGTTTTGTCAATAATAACACCTAAATATCTTGTTGAGTTGGATGGTTTGATGGATATATCATCTATTTTGACTGCGACTGGATTTTTATATTGTTTTCTTGGATGTACAGTGAAGTGGACGAGTTCAGTTTTTGTTGGTTGTAATTTTAGTTTCCACGATTTGCACCAACTTTGGAATGCATCTATGGAGTGTTGTAGGCGGGAATTAAGGCTTGTTATTGTGTTGGATGATGTCCATAGTGCTGTGTCATCGGCAAAAAGACCATGTTCTGTATGTTCTGGTATTCCATTCATCGAATCTGCCGTATATATAATGTAGAGTAATGGTGATAACGGAGATCCTTGTGGAGTACCACTATTAAGGTTGAATGGTCTGGATAATATATTTTCGATTTCTATAACAGCAGTTCTGTTTTGAAGAAACGAAATCAGATAATTTGTTAAATATTGTGGTAGACGTAGTTCATTTAATTTATATATTAGTCCTTCATGCCAGACAGAGTCAAATGCAGCTTTAATATCAAATAATATAACTGCTGCATGACGACTACGATCATTTGAATGGAGGTGATTTTGTGCATACTTTGTCAGCCTTATGATGTTGTTTAAAGTGCTTTTCCGTGGTCGAAAGCCAGCTTGATGTTCTGGAAGAATGTTGCGTCGGTCCAGAATAACCATCAGTCGTTGCTTGATTATTTTCTCCAGAAGTTTGCCGAGGCAACTAAGAAGACTAATCGGACGATAACTTGACGGATGTTGTCTATCTTTGTTGGGCTTTAATAAAAGTATAATATTTGCATTTTTCCATCCACTTGGAATATAACCCATATTTAATATGGAGTTGAATAATTTAGTCAGATGTTGAATCAGTGATTGTGTGTGATTTTTCAGACATCTGTTGTGGATGTTGTCAGGCCCAGTGGAGGTGTTTCGAAGTTGTTTGATGTTATATTTAACTTCTTCTATTGTGATCTTCTTCCACTTGTTTAGTTTCGTGTTAGAAGATCTGTTTTTAATGTTAAAAGTTTGTCTTGTCACTTGCTGATGAAACGGTAATGTGTCAGGAGCTTTGACATAGACTTCATTTTGAAAATATCCAGCAAATAGATCGGCTTTTTCCTTATCTAATGTTGCAGTCACATTGTTATATTTGATGTTGTTACTGTGGCTTTGTTTTATTCGCTTGTTGTGAAACTTGCGAACCGTAAGCCATACTGAATCTGAATACATTTTCTTCTGACATAATGACGACATAAGGTTGTTAAAGTTGATTTTTCTGTCGTTTCTAAGTGAATTTGTCAGTAACAACTTACATTTATAATATTGCTGTTTTTCACTATCTTCTCCAGTCTTCTTCCATTTACGATAAGTTTTATGTTTGAGCTGGATCAGATGTTTGGTTGCTTCACTTAGTTTAATGTTTGTGTTCAATTTTTTTGATGTTGGTATGGCTTCTTGTGTTGCTGTAGTAATGCTGTTGGTAATAAACGACGTATATTCTTCTATATCTGATTCTGAATTTATATAACGATGTTTGTTCCATAGCATTAGTTGTTCATTTAATGTATTTCTAAATTTTGGCCAATTTGCTGCTTTGAAGTTAAGCGATAATCTTGGAGATGCAGGTTTGGGTTCAGGTCCAATTGGTAAATCGAAGGTTAATGGTTTGTGACCACTTAATGTACCGATTGTTGGGTGGGTTTCGACGTTTGATATTAATGAATGAAGAGGTTGACTGGTTAATATCCAGTCGATCTTTACTTCATAATCATTCTTTTCATATGTGGTGCTAACATCATCAATACAGTTAAAATAACCTTCATTTATTACCTCTTGTAACTGTCTTCCTCTTGCATTTGTTTTTCTTGATCCCATATTGTATAATGTTGCGTTCAGGTCGCCTACTATGATACAGTTGTTGTTTAAATTGTACAGTTCATTAAAGATGTTGATCTGGATTTTTGCTGTTGGTGGTACGTAGATCGAAGAGATTAATACGCTCTTTAATGAACGTGAAGCAATTTCCACAGCTATAATTTCATTTTTTCCAACAGTTTTGCTAAGAATTTCATTACATTTGATATGTTGTTTGACAGCTAGTAATACTCCTCCACCAGGTTTTCCTACTCGGTCGTTTCTGAAAATGTTGTAACCTTTCAGAGAGAACGGTTGGTCTCTTTTCAGATTAGTTTCATTTACAGATATGACGTCGTATTTGGAGAATCTAGCAAGGAGTTCGTCTTTGTGTTTTCTGATAGTGGTGATGTTAATATGACAAACACTAATCATCGTTGTTGCTTGTTTTGAGATCTTTGCTGTCAAATGTTGATGTATCTAAGGAGCTGTTGGGTGATCGAACTCTTTTGGCTGCTTTCGAAACTTCTTTAACTTTTCGTGGTGGTTTTGATGAAGTTACATTTGAGGTTGTTGTTGGCTTCTTTGATGTATCAGTTGCTGAGGTGGTTAATTTGGTTATTGCTGCACTTGGGTTTTGCTTGTTTCTAATGTGTTTGACTACTTGACTTTCTTCTTCTGAATCAAAATCCGATATAGTCAAGGCATCTTTACCGTTGTTGTCTTGTGTTTCGATGAATGTTTCGATCTTCTTGATTTTCTTAAGTAGCTTCTGGAATAGTCGGCTGGTTGTTTCTTCGATAATCTTTTCCATTTTGCTGCTTAATACATTAATAATTTCATCGAATAATTCATTATGAATGTGTTCTTGTTGACGTTGTAAGAGGTTTGGTAGCAATGGAAATTCGTTTAAGTCATGAATGGCTGGAGCTGATGTTGTTGGTGTATTCGGAGATGAATATTGATTAACTAAATTTTTAATTTGTTTCTCCTGTTCCTTATAAGTTGCACATTCATTTGATGTTGCTATATGACTTCCTTTACAATTGCAGCATTTTATTAAATCACTAGCAGCAGTACATTGTTCAATGCGATGAGTTTCACCACATCTAGCACATATCTGCTGTTTCGTTTTGCAGTATTTTGCCACATGATTGTATTGCAGACATATAAAGCATTGTACAGGTTTGGTGTTTTGATTTGCTGCTTCAGCTATGAAATGCATTGAGTCCACTTGTAAACCAGTATGGACGAATGTATTTCGATTATGTGGATCACTAAATGTAATCTTGATCGTTCTAGTAGGAACATTTTTAGTTTTATTCATTAGTCGAACAACATCAATAGCATCAAGTCCAACGTCCTTTAATGCTTCAGTTATTCGACCTTCAGGAATTTCTATGTCGACATTTTTAACAAATGCGACTTTTTCCGTATCTTTAATACGTTGAATGGATCGGGGCACATATATTTTAGCTGTAGCCTGTCCATTTGTTGCAAGTATTGGTGTTAACTCATTTAATAGACGATTAAACGAGCTAACATCAGCTGCATATATTGTAAAGTGACCTGATCGACTTAGCTGAATATCAGATATTCGTAAGTCCTTTAAATGCTGTTTGATAACATCATTTAATTGTAATTTATGTAGCTTAACACCCTCTAGAATTAGAGGAGCAATGCTAAAATTTGATTGCTTTATCAGGCCAGCCTTTGTTCCTGAAGAAGTCTTTGTTGTAGCAGAGGCCTTTGTTCTCGGAATATGACTCATCGCCATTGTTCCTCCAACATCAGCTACTGCTGTTTGACCTTGATTTACATTTTCACCATTAATATAAATTTGTCCTTGTTTGGATAAATTAGTTCCTCCTTTTCTGGGAGGCATAATTAACGATGAACCACTCGTAGAATCGACTGGAACTAATTAACTTAATTAATAATTTCAAAAATAATTTGAAAATAATGTAATATAAGTAATTTATCAAATAAATGAATTCGACGAGTTGAACAAAGAAATGTACGTAACCGACGAAAATAAGATGCGACTTATCTCGACCGTGTAAAAGTGACGAATGAAGATGAGTGTTGGTTCTATTTACTTCTATATTTGAATCAAATCGTTCCTGTCAAATAGCACAAGAACACAGTGCATAGTGATGTGTATCAGAATAGAGATAACAAGGTAGCAGGCCATATATATATGTCTAAAATTTTCCATTTCTTAATTCTTGACATTAAAACATTATCCTCTCACCTCGTTATTTTGTAATTTACTGGCAGCAATAACCATGTCTTGATCAGATAAGTCACACAACATCAATTGCGGCGAGTCGCCATTTTCAGAAAAAAGTTTTTCCACATCGACCGTGGGACATTCTGAGTTATTGTTTGATTCTTGTTCTTGCTCTAAAATGCACATATGTTTTAGAATCCTTCGTGTAAGAGAGAATGACGGGGAGGAGGCAATGCTAACTGTTTCGCTCTGAAATATATACATATATATGAACGATTAGAAGTTCTAAAAAATAGAACTAAATATATTCCCAGTCTTCTTTTTGGCAAACCTTTCAGAAATTCCGTTAGATCAGTACTTTCACACCCTCAAGCTGAAGAGTAGGGAATCACTCTGTTTTTCTACTCGAAATTTCATTAAAAGCAAAATGTTAGAGAAAATCGAATCTTTTTTTTGTTCCTGAATTTTGAGTATTGTTATTCATCCATCAATTATAGCTTTTTACAGAAAGACCAGACATCCAACTCTATAGTAAACAATATGCTTTTACTTTCAAATAATACTTTTAATACATAAAATCTTTACTCAAACTGCCACTGGAATGCTTTTTTTTAGATGAAATGTTGGATCTTTCTATATGTACATATGGCTTTCAAAAATTTTCACTTGTGTTACACTAAAGAATACCTGAAGACATTTTTGGCACCAATAATTTCAAACCGGAAAAATGATAATGTATATAATATAAAATTGATCAGTTTTCGTCTTTCTCAACAATCAGAAATAATTTGGCACTAGATGACGATGGATGCACCAATTAGATGCACGAAACAATGATAAACTGAATCTGAAATGAAAAAACAACAACAATGAAATAATTTCAGTTAAACATGAACAATGTGACATTGGAACTTTTGAAAAACGTAAATCTTGAGAATTCAAGAACGATCGCAACAAGCAAATATCATACAACAAAAAAATCATAGAAGAAAATTGCAGTATCTCTCTCATGCTCATGATCAAATGCAAACTAGATGAGAAATAACACAAAAGACTAAAGGAAATATCAGGACACGTACAGATTTACATTGAGACACTAACTTTTGCCCACAAGCATCTAATTACCACTATGCGACTATACATGCTCATAACAAAGGTATCAGCGTCAGTGCTCTGGTTTTCGGAAACTAACGTTCAGTTGGACACAAAAATATTCTATTTTGGTTCAATGAAATTTTTATCATGTTATCCAATTGAATCATATATAAACTGAAAGAGACTCATTTCATGAGTATTTCGATACTAAGTGTAAGGCATATTTGTCAACATTTTCAAACATAACTTATTATATGTCTCGCTATCTAATGGTATCCTGTATCAAAAAGTTGACCTTCGAGTGAAAGCGTTACCTTGGATCAAAGCTATCGAATGAATTATCAAGTGTTTCCAGTTTGCTAGTTATTTCTTTACCGTGCCTAACCTTATATAACTGTGTCATTTATCTCAGTTTCATATTTTGCATA